GAGCTAAACAGTGTGTTTCACTGCGCGAGTGTGGGTCCTGGTGCGAATAACAGACAATGGTAAGCAAAAATTCATTCACTCATAAGCATAAATAAATAAAAAAAAACTCTAGTAACAGCAAAAGTAGCTCACCTTTTGCAGCCTCTTAGGGTAGGAAATTAAATAAGGGATCGCGGCAGCAAAAAGAATATCAGAAGAAAAAAGAGTGGGAGGAAAACATCGCCTCATCACTCGGCGATAACTGATTGTGCGTGGGTCCTAGAACGAATAATAGCAATCTGTATTGTATCGACACTCGTCTAGCGAAGGGAAAGCGAATACGGCAGCAACGGGGCTTACACTATGCCCTAAGCGCCGAGTTTGTGGGAGCGAGAGGTCCCTTATACCACCCATGGGGGGCGCTGAGTATTCCTGAAGGAAGAACTCAGTAACCTTTTTTATCGTGGACCGTGCCCTTAAAGAACCAGAGAAAACTTGGCTGGCTGTAGTTTAGCCAAGGGTTGATATTCAGAACAAAACCTTCAGAGCCCCTTGAATTCATTCCTTAAATAATCGGCGTATTCAGCCTTCGGTAAGCAGTTTATCAGCTGTTGAGAATAAGGGAGCAAAATATCCAGAGGTGTTCAATAAATTAGTAGCTACAGAATCACCCTATAAGTATTAGGCCCGGATTTCGACAAGTCGTTATGACAATTAGAGGAACTCTTCTAGCACTCCAACATTTCAAAGTGCTTTAATGGTTGACTGTCAGTTCAACCAAATTTCTTCACTGCCAAAATAAAACCATAAAGGCATTCGAATAAAGCAATTTTGGCATTGGGCAGCTGAACTAATTGTTTCAGCCATGATCCTTTTCAGATTTTTCAATTGTTTCATAGAAGGTGTGATAAAATCGTAGTTGGAGGGTGTCATCTGATAACGGCTGATATTGTAGAGGATGTTGACCTGTGAAAGGCTACTTAGTTCTGAATTCTCTTCATCGTCTGACTATTTGGCACTGTTCGTTACTTACCCGTTGCTTGGAATTAATAAACTCTTATTCTAACGGCTCCAGTGATACACCCAGTCGGTTCCAACCGACACTCAGGTGAAGGTTGAAACCAACAATAAGAAGAGTGAAAAGATAAAGATACTCAATTCGGAACGTCTTTCGTGTCAACAGTGTAACCTTGAAAATGTGTTTTGTTGAATGGAATGTGACGGAATTGTAGATGTTAGGTGACAGAGTTTGATAACGACTGGCAACGAAAGAAAGTATTTCCTCATATGATGTCAAGATGGCTGCCATGTTTTTGCCATGATGAGGGAAGGTGTTGAGTATTGAGGATACCTCTAACCTGGGGTCACATAGGTGCAGAAAACACTAAAGTCAGCCTAGGCTAGTACGCTGTGCTGATCAGGGAAACTTTAATCATATAGGTCAACTTTGAGGGCACAATGAGACATTCCAATAAGAAATTGATTGTTCCTATATTTCTTTGACGGGTGACAAACAAGTATTTATCAGTGCTCCATCAACACTCTCAGACAAAAAGAAAAACAATGAAAGACGTCGACAGGAGATTTATTTCGAACACATAGCCATTGTAAGAACTAGTGATTGATGATGGCTCCTCGGATTTCGAAGTTTTTTCGAAGAAAATGGATTAGGAAAGAGTCGAGGGCAACACAGTTCAATTGCCATTTGGAGAAGTGATTTATACTATCACTCCAAACAAGGCACCGCACCCAAAGGATCAAAAATGAAAGAGAACGAAGACGGGAAAATTCTCGTCATCAATTATCATCCCGTTATCACGCCTCACTAGTCTTCGATTTCGGCATTGTCGGAGAGAACATTTCGTTACAGCTCCCAATAAACCATGAAGGACTACACTTCCAAACTGATTTATAAAAACAATGGCGCTAACAAAAAACAAGAGCTATATTAGAGAAACTGTTACCTATCTTAGTTCGTTTCGCCTCTTACAATAAGTCATATGAACCAAAATCTATCTGTCGTCGTCGACGACCCCGTACTATTACGCAAGCGCCCTACCCCCCGCTATCAAGTGGGGCGGGGCGCGGTGGGATTAGGCTCATGCTTGCTTTACANTTACTTGTACCATTCACTTGTAATACTTGCTTTTGCTCAGCGTGTACGGTCAAGCCGCCCACGCTAATATCTCGCTTTCCCTCCTTAATAAAAATACTGAACCACCATTGCTTGTATTGTCTTAAAAGGGTAAATCACCCAGTCTTCACGCACCCATCCTGGTTACTATCATCACCCGATGCTCGTCAATGACTATCTAGGCCCAGTTATCGATAGGACCTAGAAAGTTATTAACAAATATGGAAATTGAAACTACTATATGAGTCTACCAAAGAAAGTTTTTGGCGTTATAAGTTTGCATGCTTAAAGCATGGAGGGATAGTTCTAGTTGATAAGCGCAGTTGCCCGTAATAGCCACAGGGGTCCCAGTGGCAGTGCTCTTCCTCTCCAGATGGGCGGTGAGGGATTGCGCCCCGTTGCCGTTTTCGCTTTTGCAAAACGCGCTTTGATCCGAATAAAAGCACTTGACCCGTCTTTTTACTAATTTAATTTGGCGCCTTGTCTCAGCTATCATTTGTGGTCACCTATCTATCACCTATCACCGCACTTATTTGAAAATTCTTGAGGTAGAGGGGGAAACCCAAACAACTTAGAGCAGATACATATGTATGAAAAACTCAATATTGATGAAACAATCCAAGAAATAAGTGAAGCAGATATGTTGTTTACAAAATGCGAACCTCATAGGTACAAGCCATCTCTCTACAACCCAAATAGAACG